TCACAACCTACGTGCCATTAGCTTTCCCACTTCCGGGGGGGGGGCCTTTTTTATTTTTTTATTTTTTTGGGGGGAGGAGGGGGGGTTGCGTTTTTGTAGGGGGTACGTTTTCCTTGTTGGTGGTGTCTATTGAGGAGGTTTTGATTGAGTGATGATGAAAAGATTGTGCATAAAGTGCCGCTGACATTTCGTCTTGTTTTGCCTTTTCTGTGCTTGATGTGTTGTGAATCTTTTGTGATCCGGGGGCAAAACGGGAATTGCAGGCTGATGCGCCGAATCCCGACAAGATTCCTGATCAGGATATAATTGGTGTCACTGTTCTCCTCTTAACCTGTTCGTACAGAGGGCAGGAGTTCATCAGAGTGGGCTACTATGTGAATAACGAGTATCTGGACGAGGACTTGAGAGAAAACCCCCCTCAGAAGGCTGTGCTGGAGCAGGTTCAAAGGAGCATTTTGGCTGACAAGCCCCGAGTGACCAAGTTCCAGATCGTCTGGGACAATCTGGTGCCGGTACAGCAGGTACCGCATGCGGGGGACCAAGCACCCACAGAGGAACAGCAGGCACAACAGCAGATGATGTCGCCGCCCACCCCCGTTCCGCAGATGGTACCTCAGCATTGATCGAAGCAGTGTTTTCTTTTTTTTCTTTTTTTTCCAACGAGTCGGTGCTTGGTGCTGGCTCTGGGACGATCTGGTGCCGGTACAGCAGGTACTGCATGCGTGCGTGGGACCAAGCTCCCTTAGAGGAAGAGCAGGCACAACAGCAGATGATGTCGCCGCCTACCCCCATTTCACAGATGGTACCTCAGCAGCATTCATCGTAGCAGTGTTGTGTGTTTTTTTGCTGTCCAACGAGTCGGTCCTGGCTCTGCTTCTGTGTTTGGGCTATTGAATAGCTGCTCTCGTGGCCTCTTCTTTGATAGGAGTTGTGCTTTGTAAGAGCGACTACCATCATAAGTAAGAGAGGGGCATGCGTGGCATGCGTAGAGGGCATATGTGGCATGGCATGCATGGAGGAACAGCGGGCGAAACAGCAGATGGTGTCGGCGCCCACCCCCATTCAACAGATAGTACCTTGGCAGAATCGATCGTAGTAGTATCGCATTTTTTCCAAGGAGTCGGTGCTGACTCTGCTTCTGTGTTGGGCTATTGAGTAGCTGGCCTCGTGACCTCTCCTTTGATAGGAGTTGTTCCTTGAAAGAGCGACTACCATCATAGGTAAGCGAGAGGGGCATGTGTGGCATGCACAGAGGGCGAAGGGCGTCTACAAATGGCATCCGTCGGTGTTTCAGCGTTGACGCTGTTTATCCCGGCTGGCTGTTTACTGTGGTTGATGAATTGCCCAGTTGTTGTTGTTGTTGTTGTTGTTGTTGGATGAATTGCCCAGTTTTTCACATTTCCATGATTTCTCTTTGACCGTCGTCTCTTAGATCCTTCCTCTCCTTTCCCTC